GTTCCACTTCACAATTGTGTCCCACTTGTTGGTGATTCTTCACATAAAATAAAAAATGTATATCTTTATGTTTGAAGCCTGAAATGTGGCAAAAGGTTGAAAAGTTCAAGGGGGCCGAATACTTTCGCAAGGCACTGTATATACACCTCAGAGAAGCAATAAAATAGGTACACACCTAATTTATAGGTATAGTTAAAACCTACTTAACCCAGAAGTGAGTGGATGACCTTTTCTCATGAACAGAATTGGTGACAATGTCTGTATCTGAAACTTTACCCGTTTAAAAAAAAATAGCAGTAGATGCCCTATGACAGTTAAACAAAAATATTTTGCATACACGATTCTAATTTTCAAGAGGCTAGAACAGCAGATTCCCACAGGACTATAGAAAGTAGAAAGTGAGCAGCAGACGTTCACCATTTGAACAAAACTGAGAACTAAATGAAGGGTTTGTGATACAATTTATTAAAACCACAGAAATTTGAAATCTGAGCAACACAACATGGAATTACTGAAAGGATATGATACAGCCTTAAGAAAAATAACTGCTCCCAAAGACAGCTCCCACCTCCCTCCCCTTATAATTTCCTCTGGGACAGAATATGTACTCAGTATTTCTTATATTATAACATAGTTCCTTGTTTAAGCTGCTGGATTCCCTTTCCTCATTCCAAGTAGATATACCTCAAAATTGTTCTAAGAAGCAGACAAATTGCAAAGTATTTACCGTAGGAACAGCTATCCTCAAGAGCTGTGTGACAAGACAATAAAACATTATGCTTGTGCTTTCAATCTTAACCAGAAATCTAGGATGGATTTGCTCACCATGATGTTTTTACTTAAAATTTTGCTCACGGCGAATAACTTACCGCCTGCTTTAAAAGAAAATATTGATAATGGCATAAAACCATAATGCCAAGGCTGACATTTTATGACAACTGGGGACTGGAGTGCTTGTTACAAATTTGCTTTATTTCTTCACAACTGAAACTCTTACAGTGTTTTATAGGCTTAAGACTACACATGACATATTTAAGGGTCTCAGGAAGCCCTCTGCCTATCAACAAAATGTTAAATGAGAAAACGGGTCTCTGAGCAAATTCTGCACAGTTGTAATGGAAATCTGTGTCAAAGCCGATGGGATTATATTGAGAGGCTTATTTTCAAAAGCAAAAAAAATCGAAACTGTGCTTGAGACATGGGTAATACTATCCAAGAATGTTCTTAGCTGTTTTATTGTCTATTTAACTGTTGAGGCAGCGCATTCTGATTTTATTTTCACCTCCTATAATGTTTATAACATGGCACACATGACAAGCAATGATATGGCTCTTGCTTAATTCATAACAACAAGCTTTGAGCAATTATTTCATTCTTTAAAGGTTTACAAAAAAAGAGCTTTGGACAACAGTCTTAGGTAACTTTTGAACTGGAAAAAAAAGAGTAAGAACTGGAAAGTGTGTCAGAGGAGTTTTGACACATGGAACAAAAACCTCTCCCTGGGTTTGGTGAAGGTAGTCAATATTGTCTCTTTGAATTCAGTCCAACATGTTGTTTGTTCTCTTCCAGATCTTCTCTATCCAAACAACAGAAGCAGCACAATACACACCGAATTGACAATTATTAAGGGCACTACAAAAAAGAAAAGAAAAAGAAAAATGTCATTATTGTTTCAAAACAGAAACTTAAAAGATAGCAATTTAGTTTCTCTCAATTCACCTGTTACAGATGTTAGATTTTTCATTAGAAAAAGGACTGTCCTTCATCTGAGTCTTCTCAGCTACAGAACAATCTAAAGGCAGTGCTGCAGAGCTCATGCAAAGCCTATACCTTGAATTATATAAACCTTCTTAAATCCTCAGCCCCTGTTCTACCTCAAGCTAAGAAAAAACAATCACTACCTAAAACTAAACCTCATACCACGACCACTGCCAAAGCAAACCACACTGACATCACAGCAGATTTTGAGGTGCGGATAGTGTGTGCTATGATCATCCACAAGGCCACAAGATAAATTCTAGATTTTTCATTGGACATGGTACCTATCAACACTATTGAAACAAATTGGGAACATGGTGAACATAAATACATTATTTATGTACCTTGTTGTGACAAGGTATGGCTAAGATAAGCAATCCAGGCTGTACATTTCAACAGTTCTGAATTTTAAAACATCTACATAACCAACTGATGCAATTACAGTATTATGGGTCTCAGTGTTACAACCATAGAACACCCTAACTATTAATAACAGAATACTGAGAGGAGACAGTATGTATGTTTTATTGCTTTTACTGTCCTTCATTTACCTAAAGAGCAACACTTAGTAACCAGCCCTGAATTACATTATCCTAATAGAAAGTACCCAGTCACATTCTATGTTACAAAAAATGGCAACATGCATTATCATTAGCTTTCCTCAGTATTATTTATCATGAAAATAAAAATATCTATTTTCTATCTTAAAATAAACAAACTTACCCTTTTCATAGTCATAAAAAAACTCAACTTTAAAACACTAAATGGGGCATATATACAAATTATCAGTGATGTTGCTGTAGATTTAATATTAGTACTAATACTTGTAGTAGAACTAATAACAGCAATAGTAGTGACAAATATAATTGTACTAATGCGATTAAGAGATTTGAGTTTCTTAGAAAATATGGCTTTTGATTATTTTATTTAATAGAAATCTCAAGCACAGTTAATGGAGGAGTTCTAAAATTAAATTTATATTAATTAGTTTAAGGATGTTAAATGAGGTTAGCGATACACCTAGAATAGATATGATTAGTTTCAAACCCCACAACATAGTCCATGTCTGAAAGCTCAAAATAAAATCTTAAAAAGTTGGAAACAACTACACCCTGGAGAATTAAAGCTGAACCACCATAAAGTATGTTTCCCAGTCTAGTTATGTAAACTGGGATGGTGCACAGTAATGACCTATGTATATTACATGATCTAGCTAGAATGTAAAGTTTACTTTCTTTATATCTTGTATTAGCATCAGATACAAACATGCTGATTCAGCAAATGCAATACAAACTTACCCCTCATCACTGTCCTCACAGAACGAACAAGGTTCATCAGCTGAGATTTAATTCCTGGTTCATCACCAAAACCTCCAATTCCTTGATCTGCTCCCCAGCCAACTAAGAAAAACAAAAGTGAAATTATTAAGACCAAAGGGTTTATTTATGTGTATGATCTATTTTATCCTTTTGTGCTGCTATAGTTAAAAAAATAGTAAATTATGGAACAAGTAATAGGTTTATTCCATGCTGAAAAAAAGAAGAAAGAGAACACAACGTTTCGGCCGTGGAGCCTTCTTCAGGTGTGAGCATTACTACTACCCACTAGCACTACTACCCACCTGAACAGTAAATTATAATACGTTAGCTTCAATAATATTCTAAAGTAATTTTTAAATGAGAGCCTTCATTTGAGTTTTCATTTTATTTAGGTCCATTAGCTAAATTATTCCTAAGGATAATCGTAGTGAAAATAATCACGTCACCGTCCGTATTCCAGAATACAATAATATCAAGCGAAGCAATATGGAATCAGTTTAGATAGCTAATAATAAACTACAAATCACAGTCAAAGATCGCTTTTAGTAACCGCTGAAATATAATTTATGAAATAATCGGTCTTTTTCACATTCGAGTTCATTTGCGTTATTAAAAAAACTTGTGAGTGACACTCGGGTTGTCTGTAACGACGTTCTACTGCTCTCCTCGCCTTCTTAAAAAACTCGGTTATTTGTACACACGTCAAAATCGTGTAGTACTTGTTCCAGGAAGCTATCGTACACTCATAATAAACGAAGTAGTTTCGCAGTATTTATAAATGTTCATTAAAGTTAGTACTGCCTCACCCTATAATACCATACTGTAAAAAGATGCTAAAGATGCTTTAGTTATTTCACCAGCTAAGTGCATCATATTGTTACATACGTTACAGAAATACATTTAGAAAATACACTTACTTTTGCTTAAAAACCTCTCTTCGTGTAAGACAGCTACCGCATTTACACATAAAATCGCTGCTTGAATCAGAGAATAGAGTGTGAACGCCATGCTGGCACTGTCTTCGGAGCTATGACGTATACCTGTCAGCTGGGACGGCATCTCGCAAAGGACAATCCGGGCTATTACAAGATAGTTACTTTTTTAACCAAAACGTGGATCTCATTTTTCTGACATATTTTATTTTGAAAGAAAACAAGTGAATGATTAAACACAAAACACTGTTTTTACTTTTACACTCGTACACGACTGTAAAAGGTTAACATGTGCTATTCTGCTTCCTGACAATGGTAATGTATATTGAATTTAAGACAGGACACTAGTGCTATTTGGAAATGGACCAGATCCCAGGAGGTACTACCAAATCACACTGAAAGCGTTTCCGAAGAGTTGTTCAGTCGTCCGTCTCACGAAACAGATACGCTCCCATTTTAACCAATGTTTCAATCCACACCGGCTCCGCTAGACGCGCGTCTCACATCTTTCAGCGTTTTTTTACGCTCCGAGTCTATTTTTTTCCACTTGCGCGTGTGAGTGAAGCGAAAACCCCATAGAGATCCATTCAAATCACACAAAACTCACACTTTCTATGCCCAGTAAACTATAGAAGCACAGTCAACAACAATATTATGATCATGCTGGCCCAGAGTGGTCCATTAATACAGTGCAATTTTTCACTTTGTCACAAGCTAGATGATGACACCGACATGGGTAAAGTATTGTGGTTGTTTAGCCACAAAAAACAACACATCTTTTGTTTGTCCAGCCCCTCGTGGTCAACTTCGGCTGTTTTTCTCTCTCTCATGTTCCTTTGACTTTCCCATGTTTGAATACGGAACGCAACTGTCGGAATTGGTGTGGATTGGACGGATGGTCGCTTATGCTACGCTGACGTGTCGCTTCTGGTGTGAATTCGGGGTAGGATTTTGTCAGATTTTAGAAGCTAAACCAGACTAAAACTGAACAGTGCCGTGATAGGAAACTTATAGAAACCTAGTGTTGGTCAACCAATAGGTATACACTTACGCATTAAAACATTCCTGAAATACCTTCACTCAGGTATTTGCAAAATACACACAGCCATTGAATGCCACGTAATGATAACTGGGAGCAGGAATGACTTCAGCAGGTTGCATTTTTCCTAGTGCTGTGTGACAGTGTGGTCAAATGCTTTCTCTGATCTTCAAAATATGCTCAATTAGCCTCTTTTCCCTGTATTTTTGCTTGCTCCGTGTGTTCTTCTTTTCTGCCTGTGATTTAGTTTTTGTCTTTTGCTATTTTCTTCTCATATTTCTTTTTATATGATTTTCAGAAAGAAATTACACGATTCCTGCTCTGCCAAGCAACTGTGTAATCTAATTGGTAAAGAAGCTGTGCATGTCTTTCAATGCATCATCTTGCAAAAAAAAAGAAGTCAAAATTAAGGAATAATAAATACAGAAGTTCTGATAGGTAGTATATGGTTGTATTTGTTAGTATAAAGCTAACAATTCATTCAGTGAATTATATTTCCTGTTGTGTCAGTGATATGGCATCCATTTGTATAAACCAGGAGTCCCTTAACGTCCGTACACATGGTTAACTACTGAACACAAAGTGCTGTGTTATGCGCTTTCTTTTTAGTCTTTAATTCATTCATGTGATATAGAAACAAAGGTTTGTAGATTCTGCAACCATATTTACGTCTTTAAAATGAAGGTGTAATTCTGAATATAATTAAGTAATTCTGGTCATTGAATGTCAAAATTCACATATATGACAAAGTCTTAAGAGATTTAAAAACTGGAAATAAGAAGCAATCTGTCACATCTTTACAGATGGGCATACAGTACTTTAATCCATGCTGACTTTACCATGAGGAATGTTCTGACATTTAAATCACTTCTTCAGGGTGAGCTTTGAATTAATATTGCTGTCAGTGATAAATGGCTAAAATCATCTCTATTGTCTGTCTGCAAAAACACACACCAAATCATCTTTTGTTGGTGTAATTAAAATGAAGTACTAGTGAAAAAGAAAATAACATTTTTCTGCACACAAGGGAAACTAACAAGGGAAAATATTTGATAATATTGTGGATTCCAAAAGGGAATTTTAATGTTGTTTTTCACACTGTATTTACACATGAAAAATATATCTGTGTTGTTGAGAAAGACAAAACAGTTCATGAAAAAAACAAGCAAGCCTAGTTGTTTTAAGTTCTTATTATAGACTTTTTATTTTATCCACATAAATAGTAAAGAAACTACAAGAACATAATTTAAATACATTTGCAGTAACAGTTTGTCATAATGGTTTATCATTATTTTTTTAATTACAGTCCCAAAAAATGGGCAACGGTTTTCTGTGGTTCTGTGACATTTCACTTCACTCCAGCGCAGTTTTCTTCAGAAATGAACTTCCTTCATCCTCAGATGACAGCAGGATGATACTGTCACTTCAGTTTAATGACCAAGCAAACAAAAGATATGCATTCATTTTACAGGTACTGTATCAGTCTGAAAAATGAAAAGGCTTGGGTGGTCTATCTTACAACTTTTGCCGACCTTACCAGGGTGTAGAGTGGAGGAAAGAGGATAGGGGAGTCCTTTTTTCGCAAAGAGGAACAAATACGAAGCTGAGAACCAGTGCTCCCTGTCCTACCACTGGAAAATCCTTGTAATATAACTTTGCTAATTTTACACTTTCAAGTCCGTGTATGGGTATGAGGTCACTTGTGTCTGGGTTGCCTTGTGGAGAACCCTTACGTTAATAACATGATTTCTTCCAGAGATCTGCTGGAAGCTCTGGGCAGGTGATTGTAGCTAATAGCAGGTGTACTTCAGGTACCTGGAAACAGAGGAGAATGCACTGCATCACACATGTACTCTTCATTATTTCTTTTGATTCTTATATACTACAAACTCTTTTCTGCTCACTCACACGCTCTAGGACTAGCATGTAGTAATTCTTAAATTTGGACTATTTTGGACTAAAAGCCAATAAATGCTAATTACTGTACATTAAACTGGCAACTATTATATACCAGCAGTTCCACAACACAGCAGGTCAAGTGGAAAAGTTATTTTTTCCCCAGTTGAATTAAGGAGTAACTTTAAGTTGGCTATATTGTGCAAGCCTAAAGTGCAGTTTAGCCAGGACACCTAGATTAACACCTTGCTCATACAAACTGTGACATGGGATCTTAAATGACCTAGTAGCAAGAACACAGGTTTAATGTCTCATCCAAAGGATGGAATTTCATACAGCACAGTGTCCCTTTTCAATGATGGGGTATTGCATTAGAAATTCAGGTCAGAGGTCCAATAATGCAACCTAATAATGCATTAATGCAATTCTATGGTGAAAGATCCCAGATCACAAACATGTGCATATAAAGTACAGTACAGGCAATTTTAAGAAAGGGAGATGAATCTGTTTATAGAAAAATACATAGATGTTCACATACCTTTTAACTTTTGTTGAGATGGGACCCGATTTTCTCTTTCCTTATTAGGCTTGCATAGGGAATCTAGAACAAAATACATGCAAGGTTTGGATAAAGTAATAGCTAAAGAAATAATCTACCAGTTTAGGGTGAACTGTCATTATAAGTTGAACACAATGGAAACCTGTGTGAATACAGTAACATTTTTCCAGTTCTTTAATTTCAAAGGAACTAAAATGTTGCATGTGGTGAGAAACTATACTGTACAGCTACACTTCGAAAAGTTTTTAATTTTAGTACATTATATGTACTGTACAGTAGCTGTAGTTCTGCTCTAGGAATTGGCATGAGAGGTTGTTGTTATGGGGGTTTTGTATGACATTCAGAGTTGGAACTCATTAAAGTATAGATGTAGGAAAGATTTTCCATGGCTGAAACAGCACAGCACTGTTGTCACTTCTGCTGAAACAGGAAATGATAGAAGCTGAGCTTTTCTGCACTGCAGTCCTATCCTAACATGTCTGTGGTATTTTAGGTCGAATAGATCTGTCAGCGGTTTGCTGGTGCTTCTGCTTATATGAAGAAAAGAAACCTTTGAATTAAGTTAATAAAGCTGAACTGTATTTTGTCAAGACTGACCATTTTTGACTGACCATATGTACAGTATGCATAATTATGCATACATAATGAAAGGGATTAAAATGCAAACAAAGCTGTTGATTCCAATATTCAAATTATGATTATTTCATGTTACACTTGAAGCTATAATTATCTATTGGTTTACACAAGAAACAAAATTGAAGCATTCTCTTCAATTTGTGAATTTCATCCATTTGTCTAACCAAATTGAACTTATTTTACATTAAGAAAAGGAGAAAGGACATTTTCTGTAGTCACTGATTCATATTATTTTCTGTTTCCTTTCTGTTTAAGAAATCACTTTTTTTCAGTTTCATAAAGCTATACACTGATACAGTATAGAAGTATTCATCATTTCTTAAAAGTAGGGAATTGCATAATACTATGCATTGCATAGTAGTGACATAGTATCTGGTAGATATCACTAGTAATGATTCCTTTATGTGTTGATGTATGAGTATGATTAATAAACAAAAAAGTTTCAGCTTTTGATCAAATTCTTAAGTTAAAGAAGGAATGGAATATCATGTATTGTAATGAAGCAGACAGATGCTTTGATAAACTGCTATAATATTTTTAAGCATTCCTTGTTCTGTCAGAATTTGAGTAGATGTTTTTACTAATTTGAAATATATCACACTAACAAATGCTTACATACAGTATTCTCCAGAAATGTGACAGTTTTTCCATTCACAGATTTGACTAATGATGTTCAAATGAAGCAGAATAAATATACACAGAATGGTAGTGAGAGCGTGCAGTCTCTTAAGGTATAACTCGACAGATGTAGAAATGATTGATCTTGAATATAGAACACTACATTAAACTAAATGCAAACTACTTCAAATAAAATCTTACGCTTGGAAGCTGTGAACTAAATCATGACATTTGTAAGTTTTATCTCTTTCAGTGTTAAGATGACATATTCAACAAAATCATCAGATTGAATTGATCAGATTGCAATTTTTAAAAGTTAATATTGTTTTTTATCTTGGCAGCAGTTATTTCTTTCAGTACCCTATCTTTAAAAAAATCTGTGTCCCACAGTTAAGCAATGACTTTGGTTATTGACTGCATGATTGCTTCCCATGCCTGTGTGTGTTTTTGCCGCAGTGTGGGCACAGTCAGATACTGGCCTTTTCATGAATCCTTTTATTAACTGATAAACACCATTTTATAATGTGACCGAAGCTTGCTGTTCAAGTGTGACATTTTAATCCTTCGCTTCATTTCCTGTGGCTGCCTTATTTAGTATTGTATTTTTTGCTTCATTAGAAAATATGTTGCTTTATGATCATACTGTAGTATCTGGTTTTAACTAGTCTACTTAGTTTTGCAGCTCCCAAGTGTAAAGGCATTACTAAATAATAATACAAATTATTATTATTATTAAAGATGAATTCATAATGAGTTTGTTTAATTATGTAGCTGAATTTAATAGGAATTTATATTGGAAGCCATTTAGACAGCCCTGATTAAATGCATGTGAAGTGTGGCGCATTAACAGTCAAGGCATTTGACAGCCTTCATCTGTCCTCACAGCAGGGGTAAGGTTGATGACCTCTGGATCATCTCTTCAAGGAATGTGCCTCTGCCTCATCCTAGATCACAAACTCCCCTGAGACAGGGGTACCCAGTGTCCGTATCAATCAGGCTGTTGTTGCCTTTTATTGAACAGAGGCGTCCACCACTAACTTCATTTCACTTCATTTACCTTACATTGTTATCCGTGCTGGTCTCCAGCATATGTTGGAGCAATAATTATATCTGACCTTACCCAGCAATGTAAATCTGTAACGTCTGATATGTACACATTTAATTGACTGTTTTTTAATCTAGATACATGTATGACGTAGATAGATGACGTATAGTACAAGTCTCTTTTAAGCATGTTTGATGAAGGGAAGTTTTTTTATAATAAATCTAAAAGAAATTTAAATCGGTGCTCTTCTCTTACCATTTGCAATTGCTGAACCATCTCTTCTCTGTATGCCAGCTCTCTCTTCATTTGGTCCTGAAAGTTATCTGGTTAAAAACAAAATAAAAGCAGAGATTTCTTGGGGATGCAACATAATTTCATCTACTGTATATGGAGACATTTAGATTGAAAAAAAAACATTTGTATAAAAAAAATGCATTTTATTATGACAGGGTACAAGTGGGGACCTGACGGTTCACTATCCAGAACATTGTGTTTCTGCTTTCTACTTTTCAGAGTGGAATAAACCTTTAAGATAAGGGTTATACAGCTCATTCTTTTATTTCTCTGTCTACACTCTGTTATTATGGAATATGAATTAAATCTGTATTTTTATGTGTAAAATCTTCTTTTTCTTTTTCATGCCAAACACATTGGACAAAAACGTTTTAAAAAATAGACAGGATGCATATTTTTTAGATATCAAAACAGTGAAAAAAATTTAGTTTTTCCATTTATGCACACTCTAAAGTTTAGTAAATTATATGTGAAATAATGAGCACAAATAAAAGTCATATCTTCAGCTCACCGATATTTTTTATATCTGTGCTGGTTAAACTATCTGCAAACTGTGCTCCAGAGTATGTTTTTCCAGGTCATATTATGTCCACCAGATGTCACTGTTGGCATATGAACTAAGACATCAGTTGTCGCAGTTGACTGTTAAAATGGATTCATGGCACACCTGGAAAACCTTTTAAGGTTTTCTTTACTTGACAAAAACAGTTTCATGTTGCTGGAACTGCTGTCTGATAACATAAAAAAACAACAGATTTACATCTTTAAAGAAACTCACATTTTTATGAAAAACTACCAAGGCATTTAATCGCAGCTCCCCTCAGCCATTTCTGTATTTCAAATAGTCGTGGATTTTTCTACTGCCAAACCACGCTACTTAGTAAGTCAGTTCTTAGAGGACCAAAATGCTCAGCCTCAGGGTTCATGTTCAATGACAGCTGACAAATGTGTATTCTGCAGTTCATATATAACCATTTTATGGTAAATATAATTTGTTTACATACAAATTCAAAGAGTTCCATTGGCATGACCAATGAATTACATGTTACCAAAGCAGAAGCAATGATCAGAATGTCTATAGATATTTATAGTAAAAAAAACATATTGGCCACTTATGGACATAAAACATTATTATTTGACAGGCTCATTCTCAGGCTGTGACAGTATGACAACATAAAACTGTTAAGGTAAAAACTGATCCTGCATTATGATTTGGAGTAAGGATTGTAAGGTGGGAGGACACTGTAACGTTTACTTACGGAACACTGGAAAAGTAGCATTGCCTTTCAGTGCATGAAACTCCTGTTCCAGCCGTCTTCGTAGATCTATCTGTTCTAACAGCACTTTCTGGAGCTCTTCTGCAAGACAGACACAGTGGAAAAGAAGCTATTACAGTCAGGAAGCTAACCACAACACAGTAGCCTGCAGAGCACCAAGGAGTCCATTTCTCAAGCCAGACAAGCAATGATACATAAGAGTGATCTCACTCTATGAATAACAAATAATTCCAATACATTATAAATGTATATATTAGCTTCAGTAACACGTGGAGCCCCTCAATGAATTCTCCATCAATGAAGGCTTTCTCCTCAGTTACATTAAGCTGAAATTTGCTGCCTTATTAAAACCTTATTCTTTGCCACGAAAACAAACCAACCTGACCCAAATCCCTATAAGCTATTGGCATCTTCTGTACCTTTTTCCATGTTTTCCACATCCTTCTTTAGAGATTCTGGTGGATTTGCTTCTTGGCTCTCATCACCTGTATCAAAATGGAAAAATGTTTGTAATTGTTATAACTTGTAGAGGTGCAATTACACACTACATAAGTCATGATACATTCAAAACACTGTCTTCAATTCTCCTCACAGTATGGTGCAGATGATATGTGCAGTAAGCAAGCCAAGGAAACTAACCTCATTTTACTGAAGGATTTTTATGTATTGCTGAATATATGTGGTCCGGTCATTTATTTAACTATTATTGTATTTGAAATAATACTAATACAATATTATGGTGATGACAGCATGGTACCTCTGCCTCACAGTTCTTTATCTTGATTCTGGATTAGAGAGTCTTCTGCGTGGAGTCTTCTTTTTCGTGGGGTAATCTCGTTTCTTTCCACCTTTCAAAGGCATGCTGGCTAGGTTAATGCATGTCTCAGAAATGTGTCTCGCTCTGTGTGTGTGTGCCTTGCAATGGACTGGCCTCCCACCAGGGGTTCAGTCCTGCCTTGCGCCTTGTGTCTGCCAGGTTAGGCTCCTGCAAACTTTTGCAGAACAAAGCGCCTGTGAATAATACAGTAACTGTGTTGTCTCAGTTTATTCATGAAATATTCCCACCATGCCAAGAATACTTTTGTTTTAAAAAATAACAAACTCCCAATATTATTAGGTGAAAAGGAAACACTTGAACTCCCAGGAGGGACTTAAAATTAAAAATCTTCAAGGCGTATTTTAGCAATTTACGGTGTAACAAACTATGATTATAAGATTTCTGCAAGGTTCCAAATAACCATCATATTCTCCCAGGATTCAGCAGTACTTCAGTCTCATTACAGGTGAGCATCATAGCCTGTTAGTGATGTTAGTGTTGTTAGTGTTAAAGTGCATCCCTGATAATAGTCAGAAGAAACCTCTAGACAGTGGTTTCTATGACAGAAATTTGGAGTTTAAGTGATTATTCGAACATTTCCTGTTATTCATGTTAAATGCAAAGAAGATATTACCCATGAAGTGGATTAACTGATATAGAAACAGTACAATGCACATAAGTTTAGAAGATACAAATATCTAAGACTATTTGATTTTAAGATACACATTACATTTTTACATTTGATTCTTATTAGAGAACAATTATCTTCCATTGCTGCCTGAAATGCATGGTTCGCAAAACGTGATCTGGGGGACCCATGGGGTAACTCAGAGAGATTCCAAGGGTCCCTAGGGGAAATATTTCACCCCAAGATTAAAATTGTCAGTTATCAGTTCTGCACTCATTAATAGAAAGGGCTTCCTTGCCCTGCAGTAAACTTTCAAATATTTCATTATTATAAAATTATCAAAAATAATTTTTATAACTTTATGTTAATATAACATGATGTGCAGTGCCCTTGTTGAAGGTGATCCTGAGCCAAGTGACAGGGAATTTCTGTTGTGGGTGGCTATTGTAAGTGACTACAACACAACGTATTCTAGACATTTTTCACTAATAATATCAGAATTAATATCAGAATTTAAAGGGGGTTTCTTTTAAAAGTGACTGCATGAAAAGGAAGAAAAATGCTGAAGATCCTGACTTAATTTCCTAAGGCTGCAACTGAATCAGAGTATTGTATATACAGTTAAACCCACTGGAGTAGATTGAAAAAAAAGTATTGCATGGATTTGTTGAAGGGGAAGAATGTGAATAATACAACTTGGCCATATATTACACAGGTATATTGTATACTATACTGTATGTCAATGTGTGAATGCAAAGGCACGGACAAATCAAAAGCAATCCTACACATTTGGGTATATACTGTAATCTCCCTTTCTGTTTGATTTCTTCCTCCTTAAGCCTTCTAACATTTCCTTCATTTCAAACTGCAGTGTTCTCACTCCCTTCCTCTCTCTGTCTCATTTGACAAGCAAATTTGCAGACATTGCCGGAGGATAACAACCTCGTTTGACAGTCAATTAACCGTGAATAGTCAAAGCCAAAGCAGTTTGCATTACATAAATGGAAAATTAGATTCTTTTCTCCCAAGAAACAGAACTCTCCTTAAGACACTGCAATAGACACTTTGGAATCAAAACTTCTAATCACGTCCTCTCTCAGCCCTTGGAGACATTTAGCAATCAGGCAAAGGTGGTTTCATTTAATTTGTTTCATGTAATTTTTAAAATGTATTATACATTATGTGAAGAGATCATTATCGTGTAGATAATATAAATGTTGGCATAGATGTCATAAAACACTTTTAATGTCTTTTTGACAGATATTAAAAGCAATAAGCTGTGATCTTTTTAATGGAAGGTTTCTTGGAGGAAAATGCAATTATTTCCTTTCTATATTGTTCAAATACTGATTGTCGCCTTTCTTATGTTCGCTGATATTCTTTTTGAAATTGTACATGTCCCAGAAGAATGGATTTGCAATGACATTGGAATAAAATCAAGGGCTTCTCCCTTTTCTTGGTTATAGCTGGTAGTTTAAAGGTTTCTTATTTAAGTCCATGCATGAGTTAGATACAGTATATTCACATATTTACAAGCAAAACTACTCATTGTTTTCTATTTGTTGGACTGCAAAAACATTCTACCATAAAAATTAATAACCCTTTCATAACACAGAAATTCACATGCACAATACATACCTCCAGTCTCCCTCCAGTATTCGGGAGCAGAAGTGTCTGTGTCTGAAACAAAAAAGTTGCTCTGTTCTTTGTTTTCCTCTGTAAGAACAAGAAACCAAAAAGGTTGTTAATTCCTCCACTTTTCTGGGGACATGACAACCTGCTTTGCAATTGCCAGAGTTAAACAACATGTTTGTATTGCCTTTCCTATTTTTGTGTAAAAGTATATAAAGATGAGCAGACCTTTCTATACAGGACCTGCTTTTGAGATGTTAATGACAAATTTTATTTTTTTATGGCAAAAAATTCCTTTTTCGAAACAAATAACATTGCAACCTCCTTAATTCCTGTTTCAGGAAGTGACTTACAAGGTGTGAAAATATCTTCAATAACCAGAAACTGTGCCAACTTATTGGAGAACAAAATATCTGACACAATCAATGAAAGCACCCGCACCTGAAAGGCTGCTGTTTTCTTTGGTAGCAAATGCTGTTTGACTGTCCCCTCTGTTCTTGTGCCCCTGAAAAATAAATAGCGGAGAGAATAGTGAAATATCTTTACAAAAAATAGTAGTAATTCAGAGCACTACAGTCACACTTTAAAGGACTCTTGAAGGATTCTATATGTGTAATATATACAGTAGGTTATGAACCTATAACTAAAATGTCAAAAGGAACAATCTACATGAAATAAAATCCTTCAAAATTGCTACCGTAGATCTGGCGTTTGTGAATTTATATAACTATGTAAGCATATATACACGGACGTAAACAACAAGGGGTGATTTTAGGTGTGTCAGTATTAATTTAACCACGCTGTTTTCTCCATATTACCAGATTAACTAGCATCATGAAAGAACAATTCTTCCCACTAAAACAGCTGTGCCCAACTCCTTCAGCTATCACAGCTGATGCAGTCTTTCCATGGGTTAAAGATTAAGAAGGCTAATAGGGAAAAGTGACAAAGGAAGAACAAATATAATGTAGCTGTTAAACAATATGCGATTCGGCTTATTAGGGAGAATCAAAGCGCGCTGAATATTTCATTTCTGCAGGGAACAGGACTATCAATCTTATTATGCATATATATCAACTGAGCCTAAAGCTGTATTTAAATAATAATTAGCTAAACAGCCTTAAGGGAATATTTACATCTTTGTAGCTTGACTCTTCCAGTGAGGCGTGAATTGGGCTGGAGTCTTTTAGACTGGCAGGTGAATTGACAGCCAGGCTATTTTTGTCCTCTACTGCTTCTGCAGCAATACTGGGGAAATGCACCCTGTCTTTATTCCTATTCTCCCCATTCTCCGTGAGCCCTCGAAGCTGGATGCACTGCCTGTTGTTGAAGTCTTCCTCCTCTTCATCCTGCTTGGTCTCCACATCCACCTCCTGCTCCTCATCACTGTCACCACTCTCACTTTGGTAGCTGCAGCTTGTCCCTGGAGAAAGATGCCGGTCGGAGCCAAATTCCTCCAGATTTCCATGCAGCTTCGCAATGCTCTCAGCATCTTTCACAACTGGCCGGAAGGCAGAGTGGTAGCTGGCCTTCCTTGCCTGGAAAGAAGGCGTTTCCATCAGCTTGAGCCGCCCGTCTGGGACAGGCCGGAGATCGTTGGTCGCAGACGTGCAGTCATTTTCGAACAGCCCACTCCTGGGATTGGCCAGGCTCCCTGTTTCACTTTGTTCCGAAAGGTCTAGGAAAGCCTGGCGCAATGTAGGGTTTTCCGTCAGGGAGGTGAGGGCGTTGGGCTGAGGCTGGAGGTAGGTGGGGACTGGTATGCCGCCTGTTGTCCTTGGTGGCCAGAACATGCAGAAGGGAGGGTAGAAAGTGTCTTTTCTACCTGGCCAAAGGAGACCAGAAAGTCCACTATTTTTTTGCCCGTTGGGTGTCTCGCTGTCGTCCTTTTTTTGACAAAGACTGAAAGCTGGGAAGGTGTAAGGGTTTGGGAAGAGAGAGGTAGCAGGAAACTTTTGTAACATGCCAAAGCTCTTGCTTGGGACTGGGATGACAGGGTAGCTGCGTGGATTTTTCCGGGGTGACAGGCTAGTCCCATCAACGTCTTCATCCTCATCGAATCTGGCTCTTTTCTGGCCAAGATCTGGGGAGATCATGTGTGGGAGTACACTGTTGACAGCCTTTACCTGCCCCAGAGAGGAACAGTGGCCATGGGGAAGGGCTCTTTTGCGGCTGCCTCCATTGAACATGGCCTTCACATCCTCCCAGGCAAAGGCAAGATCGTCTGGTGGAGTTTTGTCAGTCAGTTTGAGGTGGCGCCGCCATGAGTTGAAATTGGCAGCATCAGGCTGGGTGTACTTTGCTTCCGGGGTGCGATGGGAGTGAAAAATGAACTTGTTTGGAGAAAAGTACATATTGCAGTAGGAGCATTTAATGCACTTTGCCCTGGAGCTGTTGTACCGGGCAGGAACAAAGTTTCCTCTGCAACCCCAAGCGCATTCGTGCGTCACATCAAAAGCAAAGTTGTCAGGGAGCTTAGGAGGACTGTTCTCCCCCAGGAAGGACTTGCAAAGTCTTTCAGCTTCTCGTTTGGTGATCATGCCACACCTTCTGGAAGAGATGGGCATGGCCCCTGCTCGTCGCAGGATCTCCAGCTGCACCGGAGTGCACTGAACACAGGTGATGCCAAGGGCCACGCGGCGGTTATGGATCTCATTGTAGCTGTAGTTCTTCAGCAGGGTGTTGGAGATCTGAGCCAAGCACAGCCTCTCCTGGTTGTCAATCACTAGGGAGACAATGGGAACACCATACAGCACAACCTGGCCAACCTGGTTGGGCTTCAAAGAGGAGGAGTGGTTGGTCCTAGGTGGTGTAATAGGCTCTTGCTGGTAGGCGTTTGGAGGTGTGGTCATTACGATGTCGTTTGGTCCAGGGAGTTGATTTTTTTCCATTCTTTTGAGGTTCTTCTATGCAGTTGTATTTCCCCCTGGCAGAAAACATTACAAATATGTATCATTACAACCAAGCATTTAAAGTGTTACACCAGATTTAGGGTTCTTACTTTTTTTTTTAAATAGAGGTTTTGAATGCCTACTGCTGCAGTTCCGAATTTGAAGTATCAAGTAAACAACACATTTTATGATGTTCTTAATTCATAGTGATATTTCATTTGAACCCAATTAAAACATAAGAAATACCACCACTTTGAAATCAATCGGACATTAATGATCCTTAATAAACTAATATTCAAGAAGAAAAAGGGCAACAATCAATTTCAGATTTAATATTTGCAAAAGAAATATATAAGCCTTTCATTCGGTTATTTTTTGCAAAAAGTGTAGAAACTAGAAGTGTACTGTAAATCAAATATCTCAACAAAATCACGTTTTGATTAAATAAAATATGGGTAGGCATAAACTCTAAACTCTTTAATGTAGGTGGACACAAACAAGAGTTTGATAAAGCAGAAAATAACAAGACTTTGCCAGGTTTTCAGGGAAGATTTCAAGCTCACAATCGGTGGTATATTCTAAACTATGAGGAACATTTTTTGTCTACTAAAAATAGCTCTAAGCGCTAAAACAAATCCTTTACTATTTCTCATTTATGTTTTTAATTACAAATGTTATAGTTCTCATAAACGATATATCCTGCTATCAAAACAGATGTATATAAAGTATTTTGCTTTTTGCATTACATTTGAGTAATTTAACGACCGTTTTTAAGAAAAGTAAATGTATTTCTCCGTTTATTTTTCTTTCAGGAAGACAATTAGTAATAATCAAAACGTGAAAGAAATAAAAAAAATATATCATTTTAAGACATAATGCTTAGAAATCAGTTTAATTTCTGTCTATGTACAGTATATTACTATTTCATTTGACCTAAAAAGGACATACCAATATTAATTGCATGGTTTTATCAATTATATTTTCCGAAAAGTTACTGAACTAATGTTGTATGTGAAGACGACTATTTGTTTAATTGCCGTTTTAAATATGTGTTTACAATTTTATATTGTAAGCTCTCGGTGAGACTTAATTTATTTCTGTTTAAAATATGCATCATTGAACTTAAATTTCGTCTCATTGGCAACGACGACGATGAAACAATGATAGGAAAAATAATAGATTTCCCGTAATGTTTTTCAATATTGTAATCTTTAATCCTAAACAATTTAATTTTGTTTACATAACCATTTAAATTCAGTCAACAACTATAATAACCTTTATTTTATATAGCGCTTTAAGGTATCACCGAACACTCTATTCAAAATCTGCAACCACTTTAAAAAAATGAGGATTTAAGATGTTGACCTTTGCAACGTCAAAACACTACTTTAGGTACCTATTAAAAATTGCATTTGTTGTTAAACACACCGTACAGTATGTTTAACGGGCTGCTCAGAGTGCGAACTGTAGAGGTGTCCCCTTTTTATGTACAAACAAAAATAGGTTTTCACTTATTCTATTACAATTTGACAATGAAAAACACCCCTAATGTAACACATTTAACTGAATTAAATTATTATGTCAACAATGATAAAAGCAGAAAGATGTATGTAAATTATTTCCACACACTTCAAGCCTGTTGCTCAATCATTATCAAACGAGAACTACAGTATATAACTGTAAACCTGCTCAATTGACAATCGTGAAACGATTTAAGAATACATTTTGCAAAGCGGTCAGGTTTATAAACGTCCCGTACAAAACGCAGTCTATAGACATAAAATTATGCACACCCTTCCAAAATGAAAACAAACATACGTTGCGTTCTCCGTAGTCTAAAATACAAAGAACAGTTCGAATAGTTATGTAAAAAAGAAAAAGCTCAATAATAATAATGATGATGTTTTAATGTTCTAAAGTTATACAAAAATTAAACAATAGACTTTTACCTACTTCAGTCTATGTAGTACAAACGTCGCATACAATAGAAAAGGAAGCGGTTTTACTTTAAAAAAGAATAGAAGGGTTTTTAATATTTTCATTCTAACAAACACAAAGCTAACCTTTCCCTACCTTTAGTACAATAAGGAAAATATATATCCTCAAATGAAAGCGGGGGGCAACATTTTCTCCAATGCAAGAACAAACAGACAATCAAACATTATCTTCTTTGTAAATAAAAACAAAAAACGCAAAGTCCCCACAACCAAATTACAATTATTTGCCTTCCAGTGCCAATAACTTACCCCTACTGCTTTAAGAGTGGATACTCTACATTGCCAGGTTACAAATTCCCTTTAAACGATCTGTTTGCTGTCTGAGCTTGTACCAGTGTGTTGGGTTGCAAGTTGATTGGCGTAGCTCTGCCTCTTCACTGGTCCGGCTGCTGAAGAGCTTTTCCGAGCAACCAATGACGTCTCGCTACCTGCCACTCAACGCGTTTTACACTCTAAAGAGGGGCTAATGCATGAGCCGAGCCCCAGGCTACCTCGGATGCCGTTCACCTCGAATCTGAATGAAGAAACCCGACAGTCGACACACACCGTGTGTGCACATTTTGTCAAAGTTGAGGAGGAGAGGAGAATGTCGTTGGGAAGGCTGAAAGCGTGAGAGCTGTTGCCCAGATTGTGAATGATGTTGTGGGTCTGAACTTCTTAGCTCTGACCTCTCCTACCCCTGCCATGAAGCTACCATTCAAAACTACCTGTATTAAACTGAGACCTCTGCAGGACTACGAACATCACTGCGGTTTTTAAAAGATAAAATCAAAATAAATAGCAGTGTTTGCTTTATTAATGGTACAACTGCATTTCTGCAAGTTCTTAGGCTGTTCAACACTCGGTTAAGTGAGGTAATTAATTTTGTATTTGTACCTCTATGCCAAGAGTTGTTGAATTTTAGTGATATTTAAATTATTAGTTTTCTTCCACAAAAATGGTAAACAGCTCGATTGCGTAGTTAATAATTGAATTGTCCATACTTTATAATATCCCAAATTATTTACATAGTTGACTAACACGTTTTAAGACATTGGATTGTAACCGAAACAATATTTTTATTTCATTTTTGATGAATACATCAATTTTCATTCAGAAATGAAATATGTAAATTAAAGTGTTAGTGCAAATCATATTTGCCATCGTCAATGTTTTTGAGAAATGTATAACTTTGACTAAATATCTGAGAATGTAAGCACATTTGTAAAAATGCAGCACAAGGTATTTCTGTTATTTAGCCTCGATAAACCTTGACAGAATTGTCGAATACAAATTATGTCTGCGTTTATGTTAAGAATTTAACATTCATTATTGTGATTTGCACACGCCATACACCCGATTATATCAAAACACAAACAGAATTATTCATTGGCAAGCCAGTGACAGTAATACTGCGGCAACTGCAGTGTAGTCAGTGTAATGACGTGAGACTCCTCTACAGACACGGCCCGTAATGAATAGACAGGTCTTCAAGAAAACGAAGGAACGCCTTGTTAACCCCTCCCAGCCTCAAGCATTATACTGGACGCCGTCAGTCCCACTCCAATAAAAAGTATTTTTTTTCATAGGTCAAGGATAAGGCTTAAATGGGGTTTAATATACTACATTATAATGACATTGTATTTCTTAGCAATGTATAGGAGGGTGGGCTAATACCGAGCATTGCGGCAAAAGTTTAATCAATATGTGCTATATATATTTGTGTACAAAATATTTAAAAATGATGAGACAAATTCAGGAGTTTCAAACAAATCGGCTTCAAAACGGCATGGCAAAGTTAGGTGTTCTCTGGCATTGCTGTTGGGTTTAAATGATAATCTGCCAATCACTCGCGCAGTTTTCCACGAACAAAATAAACACGCAGTTAATTAATCAAGTAGTGACATGAGAGGACAGCGGGGCTAAAAACCTTTCTTTATTGTTTATCATTTGATAGGCTACAAGATTAAATAGGATACTCCAACCATCAGTTGTAATCAATTTGAAAACGGAGAATTAGATCATGTGAAAACAGAAAAGAGACAATAAAACGACAAATACATACTGTAGTACGCAGGACTACCGATCAATCCCTTCAGCGGATCAACTAGCCATTACACATACTTTATTATAACCCATAGCCTAACATTAACCGATTAATATGGCAACAATAAAAATGTGCATCATCTTGTTATTGATCGCTATGAAGAGTCTTGTGCTCCCTTTTCTAGGATATTTTAATTAAAAAGAAAGTGACAACATAGAACTTTCTTTAAACAACAGCATCAAAGTGACCGTTTCCTTAAAACGGTACACTAATTCATTTCTTTCACACACAAATGCTTAATCAAATTTGAATTTTTTATCATCATCATATTCCTATCTTCCTAACAAAACAAAACATTACTGCGATTGGTCTGTAGTTAAACCTGATCGTCAAACTGTAGTCGAATCCGTCTAACTCTATTATCAAGCACTGTCTATAGATTTATGTAAAACACAAAACAGAACTACTATACCGCTACACTAAATGATGAGTTAATTACCAAATAGTTCCATAATAATGTAATGCAGAATAGTCTGATAAAAATCTCGCAACAGGATCGTTCAGGGTTTAGGGCAATTTGCAATGATCACCAGAATCATTTAGACAAATATTTTATATAAAATAAGTAAAAATTGCATTATCGTAATTTAAGTATTATTTATATTTTATACTATCCAGAAAATGTTATAAGTAACTTTATAAACGTTAGACCTGGACTAGATCGTAAATACATACTAATTTATTATGTACGAGATATTCTCAAGCTTTCATTCGTGAGTCTTTGAAAGTTTTGGATTAACCTTTTTGTTAACTTTTCATACATTTAGTTCTCCTTGCACTTCAAAAGGCTAAATTATTTTAAGGCATAAAATATATAGAAACCTCGATAGTTAATACACACCATCGATAATAAAACGATTGCGTACAACAGTAGCTTTAAATGGAAAGTTGTTTCTAGCATCGGAACATATTCATTCATAGGCTTCATATTTCTTATGAATAATTTAAAAAA